CTAGCTGTTGTCGTTGAAGAGAGAGAAAGTAGACTGTTTATGTGTTTGCCCAAATTTTAGCCACCATGGCCAATGGTTGGCCATCAAGCCCCTCATTGAGCTTCTTGACCTCACATGCCAATCACAACTAACTCAAATGCTTCCCTCACTTGCTGCAGGAAAAATTATAATGAGACATAGCGTAGACCTGGTTTATGCATTAAAAGTGTGGTAGCAGTATGATTGTGTTTATGAGAGTGTGGTGGCACCAATGATATTTTGGCAATAGGAATAACAGTGTCAAGGTGGTGGTGCTAATGAGGCAATGGAATTAGAAGTGTGATAGAGAATGTGGTAGGGAGTGGTGGCCGTTGTGGTGGTGGTGATATTATCTTCGTGGTGTTGGTAGTGTAGGGGTCATAGTTGCAGTGTGACAAGGAGGGTGGCAGTGTGTCGACAGAGGTAGCAGTGTAGCGGTGGAAGTGGCAGTGTGGGGGTGATAGTGATAGTATGACGGAGAGAGTGACAGTGTGCTTGTGTGGCAGCAGAGTTGGTAGCGTGACGGTGATGGATCCAGTGTCGTTGTGGAGGTAGCAGTGTGGCGGCGTTGGTGACAATGTGGCGGAAAGGGTGGTAGTATGGAGGTGGTGGTGGCAGTGTGGATGGTATGGTTGTGGTGACACATTTATTTTTTAGTATGTAAATTTAATTTTGTATTAAAATTTTAAAAAGTGACAAAATTTGCTTTTTTTTTGTTAAATAACTTTTCAATATGGACTGTGTATTTGTTGTGTCTTTTGATATTAAACGAGTTTGATTTTTTAAGATTAGATTCCAGAAGAAATGACATAAGTATAATTGAGATATTTGGAGTATTTCGCTCTAACGAAAAGTGACTTTTACCTTCTCTAACCTTCCCTCCCCCTTCCCCCGTTGTCTTAACTTGTTCTTTGACCTTCCGAGTCTCGTAATTATACCCGTAGTAGTTTGATTGATATACTAATCAAAATTTTGACCGAAAAGTCAAGCAACCAAATTTATGGGTGCAATTGGAAGAGAAGAAAGGGGAAAGGAGGGGGACACAAGTAGGGGACACTGTTATGGATAATAGAGTGTGATATTTATTATTATTATTATTATTATTATTATTATTATTATTATTATTATTATTATTAATGTAATTTAAGTTTTATTAGGTGAGCGGAATTATAAGCTCCTTCGAGGTTTCTTTACAGTTCTTTCCCTCGTCGCTTTTATTGAACCGTCAGGTTAGCGTTAGGGTTTCCTTCTTCCCTATATAAGGAGATGTAACCCCCTTTAGAGTAAAGCAATCAATAAACAAATCAAAACCTTAATCCCTTCTCCTCTCTCGGTTCGATCGCCGATTCCCTCCTTCGCCTCACTTCTTCTTCTTCTTCCTCGTCTCATATTCTCAAGAGCTCGAAGACGCTCCGAGTCTTCCCTATCCGATACGGAGTCCGTATCATATATGCTCTTTGCATTTTAGGATGGCTTCTCTCGCATTTGTGGCGTTTGGCTTATAATTTTGGTTGCTTGTTTCGCTCTTGTTTTAGTTTAGATTGTTTACCAGTTTGTATTATATTGTCAAATATTTTATACACCCTCCCTTCACTAAAATCTTTCCTCTTTCATTATTTCTCGGTTTCACCAAAACATTTTTTTTTAATTAAAATGACTAATATATCCAAATAAAGTTATTGTATTCCGCAATATATTTCATCTATTTTGTATTGATATAACAAGATATTTAAGTGATTTGTCTTTCTTTTCTTTTTGACACTAATGATTTAATTAGAAATTTAAATGGCCAAAATAAAATTCGTTTGCGCAAACTTGTAGTATTCGTTTTCTAATTTCATAAAAGTACATTCCCTTGATAAGAAAAGAGTTAATTATATTGTATTTTCTTTTTAATTATGTAATGTCTTAATAAGTTATTTTAATTTTTTTAATGTCTTCATAAGTTATCACTATTTTTATGAATTTACTTTTTCTTAATGAATTTACTTTTTTTATATTATGTTGGTTGCTATGTAATTTACTTTTTATTTTTTAATTACAAAATTACTTTAAACAAAATAATATTCAAATTTAAGTACTTCCTCTATCTAAAAAAGAATTAGAATTTTGACTATTCAAAAGTCATAGAAACTTTTGTTCATGTGTACGTTTTGGTTGATTATTTGATAAAATAATATTCTTGTCACATCTTATTTTATAGAATTTTTTATGTATTTTTTTGGAAATGTAACTTTTATTTTTAACTTCTAAACCAATCTTTAAATTAAAAAATTAAAAAATTTAAATTTTATTTCTTTTGCATAAAATGTAAAATATTTTGGGACAAAAAAATATATTACACTATATTATACTCAATATTAATGTAAAAACAGTGTAGATAGATATCATCAAATGCTGCATAAATAAATGTAGGACCACGGAATGGGACTCTTCATTAAACATATATAAGTCCCACTTTAGGTACATTAGTACTTATGACTTATTTTGGTCTCATCATGTACAATCTAAAATTATTTTTGTTTAAAATATTCTCTCCGTCCTATTAAAAAGTTTTATATTTGACTTGGTACAAAAATTTAAAAGAAATTGTATAATTTAAGGTGATGCAAAGAGGAAAGAGATTATGAAATTGTTTCTAAAAATAGAAAGTGAAACTTTTTTATAGACGGACAAAAAAATATAAAGCCTTATTATGAGCAAAGAGGCAAAAGAATCACTAAATATGTAGTTCTTCTTTCCTTTCTTTTTGTTTTTAATGAATAAAATAAAACAAAAAAATTCCCTTTACCGGCACAAAACTAAATTAGGCATTATGGATGTTTAGTAAATAGTAAGTGGGCAACTAGTGGTTTTTTTTCGCACCACACCTAATTTCCTAATTTATCCATTATTCTATTTTAAATGTCTCCTTAGCTTTTTAAGTCTAATGTTTGATCAACAATATGCCTTAAAATTTATCAACAAAAAAATTTATAATAATACATTTAACTTATTTTTTATACCAATGATCTGGTATAAGTTTTATATTTTGATTCATTGTATACTTTTATATCTAGTTAATCAAATGTTTGACATGAAGAGTGAAAAAGACAGTTAAAAAGAATGTATGGAGTTTTATCAGAAAATTAATTCGGGGCACCCTGGATTTTCTGTTAATGACTCACAAGTCCCACATTATCTGAAATATATTCCCGGGTACCCTTAATTTTTTGGCCCTCATTTTTCTGGTAAGAACTTTCAGGTCTCACATTATTTGAAATATAATACGGGGTCCTTAAAATTAGTGGTAATGTACTCTTTGGGTATATTCTGTATATTTGACTATTAGGATTAAAAGTTTTGTTACTCAGACAAATACTAAATTTTAGCTTCATAATCATTATTTTATTAAGTTTAAATAAACCTTCAGCTTCTTAAAGTTAAAGAACTTTTAATCCTGACGTCAAAATGGACGGAGTGTACCCTCGAAGTATAATATCACAAATTTTAAGGACCTCGAAATATATATTTTGCATAATGAAGAACTTGAGAGTTCTTACCAAAAAATTGAAGGTACCCCAAAGTATATTTCAAATAATGTGAGTCCTGTGAGTCATTACCAGAAAATCGAGGGTACCCAAAAGTAATTTTCTGGAGTTTTATTTTAACTAGCTCTCCATTTATTCTTGATGCATACTCCCTATACTCCCTCTGTTTTTAATGTACATAATTATATCTTTATAAAATGATTTTATTTACAAATTTGCGTAAAAATAACACTTACATATTTAAACATTACATCAAAAGTTTTAAGAAATAAATAAGACATTACTATTTTATTTTATCAAATATCAACAAAACAAATTTGTAAACAAAAATTATCGATCGCCAATATAGTAAAGAGGCTAATTATTTTGAGACATAGGGTGTACTTTATAATACTCATATTATATTGAATTTATTTGATTTGAATATTGTTTTAAAATTTAAAAATTTAAAAAATAGGTACATTAATAGATCCATAAATAAGATATATATATATATATATATATATACACACACATTATTTTACAAAATGGTAGATGAAAACATACAAGGGAAAAAATATAATTTGATATGTAAATAATAACTATAAATAATCCAACAATATAAATGTATCATAAAATATGAAACATATAAATTTTATAGCATATAAAATTATTAACACAACAATTTAGAAATGAAAAATAAGAAATACTCTCTAAACATTACTCTGTCTCTCTCCCTCACTTCACACATAGTTTTAGAAAAATACAATGTAAAAAGAGATGTTCTCTTGACATTGGATTTAATCTAATTATATGATATCAAACACCTACCATGCCTCGTTTGAACGTCGTAATTCCTACTCTTTCTAACCTTTTCCCTAAGCTTCCCTATCCTAAGTGTGTCTGTTATGGATAATAGAGTGTGATATTTATTATTATTATTATTATTATTATTATTATTATTATTATTATTATTATTATTATTATTATTATTATTATTATTATTAATGTAATTTAGGTTTTATTAGGTGAGCGGAATTATAAGCTCATTCGAGGTTTCTTTACGGTTCTTTCCCTCGTCGCTTTTATTGAGCCGTCAGGTTAGCGTTAGGGTTTCCTTCTTCCTTATATAAGGAGATGTAACCCCCTTTAGAGTAAGGCAATCAATAAACAAATCAAAACCCTAATCCCTTCTCCTCTCTCGATTCGCCGATTCCCTCCTTCGCCTCACTTCTTCTTCTTCTTCCTCGTCTCATATTCTCAAGAGCTCGAAGACGCTCCGAGTCTTCCCTATCCGATACGGAGTCCGTATCTGTTAAAGGAAAGAAAATATTTGGTAGAATACTTGGAGATATTTTTGTATATATTATTTTTGGTAGCTTCCTTGTATATGATTGATTTCGTTTCCTTTTGTGATTAGGTTTCTCAATCTGTGAGAGCCTATATATACATGTCTACTTTGTAAATTGAACACAGAGAAATCCAGAGAGAATTTCCTCCCAATTATTCTTTCATGGTATCAGAGCCAAAACCCTAGAAATTTTCTACGACTACTGTTCACGATCGCCCGGCATGGCGTCCATCGATCGTTGCTCAGTTTTAGTCGATTGTTGCTGTTGCCGGATAACGAAACGGTCGACCGTTGCTCTAGAACGGTCGAGCACGTCGACCGTCCCGTCGGCAGATTGTTTGATTGATGCTATTGTTGCTTCGTCCGCCAACGCCGTACGCCACTCTGCTACCGCCATGGCCGATGAAGAACCAAGGAAGATGTTTTTCTCGCTATCATCGTGTGTTTCTAGCTTGAAGCTTTCAGGTATTTCTGTGTCACCGCGGTGGATTATAGATACTGGGGCATCAAATCATATGACTGGTGATATTTCGTTATTGTATGATGTTGTGGGAATATCACCATGTGAGATTGGTTTGCCCAACGGGAAAAGAATTGTTTCTGTCCAATCGGGGAAGATTAAATTGACAGAAACATTAATTCTACATGATGTTTTATATGTCTCCACTTTGAGTTGCCATTTAATCTCTGTGTCACAATTGACAAGGGATTCGAATTGTGAGGCACGTTTTGCCAACAATAAGTGTATACTACAGGATCTGAATTTGAAGACAGAAATTGGTATGGGTGAGCAGGAAGGAGGACTTTATTACTTTAAGGAGCCTGAAAAGAAGATGGTGTGCAGTGCGAAAAAGGAGAGTAAGTTTGATCTTTGGCACAAACGACTTGGACATCCTTCCTCTCATGTTTTGTCTCTTGTTCCTGAAGTTGGAACAAGTAAGAGAAGTCACAGTTGTTGTGACATTTGTTTACGTGCTAAACAGACTCGTGGGAGTTTTCCT